GCTCAGGACTAGCAGAGGCTCCCGCTGCGGCGATTAAAATGCGCTTTAATTTGCCACTAGACCCTGTAGATATTCATGGCTACCCCTACACCCTACACACACCCTTAGCGTGTGGGATATTCAGTAAAAGATAAATACGTGCGATTGGGGCAGTCCTGGCAATGCCGGGCTGTCAGGGTGTAGTCGCGGCCAGCCTCCCCTCCCGCGCCAGGTAAGGGGCAGAGGCGTACACACAGGTGATCCCAGGAGGGTTCTGCCCAGCGCAGCTGGGAGCCAGCCGGTTTGGTGTAATAAATGCAGAAATTGGCCACCATTATTGTTTGAGAAAGGGTTTCTTGGGAGGGACTTGAAATAGAACATTCAGCTTTCTTGCTTCTTCTATCTTCTTTTCAGTATTTTGTCAGGCCAAAAAAATAAACATAAGCGCTCAGAGATAATACCCATACAATTTTGTTAGATGTCCTTCTAGGCCAGTGATGGCGAACCTATGACACGCATGTCAGAGGTGACACGCGAACTCATTTTTTTGGTTGATTTTTCTTTGTTAAATGGCATTTAAATATATAAAATAAATATCAAAAATATAAATCTTTGTTTTACTATGGTTGCAAATATCAAAAAATTTCTATATGTGACACGGCACCAGAGTTAAGTTAGGGTTTTTCAAAATGCTGACACGCCAAGCTCAAAAGGTTCGCCATCACTGTTCTAGGCCTTTCACTATGGGATATGTACATAAAATATGTATGTAACCATATGAAGTCTTTTATAATTTTTTCTCACTTATAGGCATATTTTCATGTCACTAAATAGCTACATTATCATTTTAATGATTGTCGAACACTCCGTTGTATGAATTTGTCATTATTTAACCATTTTCCTACTAATGGACAGTTAGCTTCTTTCCATTGTTTTGCTATTAATTATCTATACTAATAAAAGGGTAATATGCTAATTAGGCTGGATAGACCAGACGTCTTCCGGAGGTCCTTCTGGACAAAGCCATGGTGGCCGAGGCAGAGCAGTTAGGGGCAATCAGGCAGGCAGGGGCAGTTAGGGGCGATCAGGCAGGGAGGCAGAGTGGTTAGGGGTGATCAGGCAGGCAGGCTGGTGAGTGGTTAGGAGCCAGCGGTCCCGGATTGCGAGAGGATGTCCCGGATTGGAGAGGGTGCAGGCCAGACTGAGGGTGCAGGCCAGTCTAGGTCTCAGATAACAGAGTGTTTTGGCCCCCCTCCATGCACAAATTTCATGCACTGGGCCTCTAGTATAATCAGGGATACACTCACTGCTCATCTTTCTGGTACGTTGTGATATGTCTGTTTTATTATTTCCTTCATGTGTCTGGAAAATAAAGTGTTGGATCAAGGTGTGTGCAATTGGAAATTTTGATAGATATTGCCAAGTTACCCTCCATCTGTTGCCCACCATCAATGTGTGAAGATAGTAGAAGCTATTGTTGGGCCAGTTGCTGAGACCACTGATGGTTTAAGAAACTTTTTGTTTTCTCCAGTGACAACAAGAGACAGGGCGACGAGGAATTCGGCTGGTGGAAGAGTTAATCCCTAAAAGACTAAGGTGTGTTGCAGAATGGCCAAAGAGGACAGCCCAAGTGCCTCAAAGGACTTGCAGGAGCTGCAGAGGAAGCTGTCTTTGCTCATAGAATCTGTCCAGAATAACTCGAAGGTCAGTTTCTAATCAGTATGTGTAATGGAAAATCCCAAGGTAACATTAGCTTAAACCCCATAGAAAGCTATCTCTCTGCCATGTCTAAGTTGTGACCTTCAAGCTCATTGTCCCAGATGGCTAGCCTCAGCCATCATATCCACATTCCAGGCAGTAGGAGGAGGAGAGGGGGAAGAAAGACTTGCAAGCCACCGTGAATTTCAGGAGACTTCCTGAGAGTCACACGTACAACACATCCAGTTTCACCCCATAGACCAGAAGCTCAGCCGCAGGACCACCCCTGCACAAATGCAGTTCTTCACTGGATGTGGAAAGGCTGCTCTCAGTCCAGGTCTCAGATACCAGAGGTTTTTTTAGCTTTGTTGTTAATTTGGGCTCATCTATTACCCCGAAAATGAGGGGGCCAAAGTTGGAGATCTGAGTTCAGTATTCCATCAGAAACCCAGTGTCCAATAGAAATGTGATGTGAGCCACAGATGTAATTTAAAGTTTTCTAGTGACTGCCCTGGCCAGGTATCTTCGTTGGTTGGAGCGTCTTCCCATGCACCAGAAGGCTGTGGGTTTGATTCCCATCAGGGCACATACCTAGGGTGCAGGTTTGGTCACGAGTCGGGATGCATATGGGAGGCAACCAGTCAATGTTTCTCTCTTTCTCTCACCCTCTCTCTCTAAGAAAAAAAGAAAAATCAATAGAAAAATATATCCATGGGTGAGTATTAAAAAAATGGTAAAGTTTTCTAGTGGGCACATTTAAAAATTAAAAGGAAGTAGATGAAATTAATTTTAGTAATGTATTTTATTTAATCTAGCATACCCAAAATATCATTTCAACATGTAATTGCTATAAAAATTATTAATGAAAAAAGTTATTTAGATGCTTTACTGTTTTTTTTATACTAAGTCTAGGAAATCCAGTGTGCATTTTACATATCATATCTTACTTTGAACTAGCCACTTTCCAGGGGTTCACTATTCAATGGTGATGGGACTTCAGATAGTATATTTCACTTCCCTGCATTTATCTTTATAGCTTGCTTTTATGTGCCTTTCAGCATTTTGTCAGGAAAATAATAGCAGCTCCCAGACACAGCATTATTAACATTTTGTTGTATGTCCTTCTAGACTTTTTTTCTGGGCAATCTATATATATATATAAGCCTAAGTGACCTTTATGACTGACTGACTGGAATGACCGGTTGACCAGTCCCTATGATGCACACTGACCATCAGGGGGCAGACGCTCAATGCAGGAGCTGCCCTCTGGTGGTCAGTGCGCTCCCACAGCCAACCTCCCGTGGCCCCTCTCCCACCTACCTGGCTGGCCCTCCCCCCACCCCAATTGGCCCCAATGGGGGGGCTGGCTGGCCAACCTCCTGTGACCCCTACCCCTCTGGGCCAACCAACCTCCTGTGGCCCCTCCACCCCCTT